GGCCGGATCTTCATCAATACTGCACTGACCTTCCCCCAAACTCACTATGGTAGTCGAGCACTTGCAGCACCTCAGTGGAATAATTCAGAACTCAGAGGATTAGTATTCTTGATACCAGCTGCTCTAAAATTCCCCTCCCTCAAAAAGCTGAAATCATTACTTTGGAAAGTTTGCAGTTTTCAGTATTTTCTAAAAAGGTAACAGATAAAGGGTAAAGATAATCTTTTAAAACATTATATATCCTAAGTTACTAATAACAGAGCAGACTATAAGTATTAATTTCATTCTATTTAACAATTTGTTTTGTTTACATATTTAGGCATTTATCTGGCCTGATGTTTTGTTTCTAGAGAGATCCCAAATATCTTAAAAGTTTTTCTAAATACAGTTAGCAGAGGGACTGTGGTAATGTTGGGATAATTGATTAAAAGGAAACATAAAGCCATTGTATTGTGTTTCATTAAACATGCTTCTTTCTTTCCTGGCCCATGATGAAAGACAAACCTTTGAAACTATTTTCAATGTTAATTCTGTTGGCTTCTGAATTCAGGATTCAGTAACTTTTACATTTCATTCTTTGCTACTGTCATTTCTTTGGCAAATTCCTTTCATCACAGAACTGTTACAACCCATACAAACTAATGCATACAAATATTTAATACATCCCCTTCCTTTTCTTCATCCTTCTATCTCTTTCATTACAATCTTCTTCTTTCTCTGAGCTGCAAGGCAGAGATTGGCTGGGAGAAAGACCTCTGCTAAGTGCAGGGGTAGTCAGCATGGCTGGCCTGGTCAGCTTTCAGGAACTGAGTAATTTCCTACAGTTCAGTATGAGAAGGAGGTGATCGAGAGAGATGGGCTGCCTGGCAATGGAAGCCAAGCCCTGATGAATGAAAAAGTGGAGAATATTTGTTTGAAAAACTTTTTTATTATTCTGAATAACAGACTCAAAAGTTGGCTAATTGGAGTCTTTTTTAACACTCTGCCCAATCACTGACAGGGAAGTTTTGTTTGCTTAAGCAAGACTTTGAAGCTAGCCTGAACAAAGTCACTTTGAACCCCAAATGTGAGAAATTCTGTGGTTGTTTTGAACTGCTCCTTAGAAGCTGAGTGCACCTGTTTATTAGACATAGGGGCCTGGGGCAACAGTCCTGAACCAAGCTGCAACTCACCTGATTTGTCATAATGATCCTTTCATTTTTGCTTTCCCTCTGGCATCTAAGACATGTTGCTCTATTGAGTGTCATAGTGCACTCAGTATTTCTCCATATACTAGAAGGTGCCGCTTAGGCATTTCTTTTGCAAGTGCCAGAAAGCTGGATGAGAGGGATGATGGTTGAGGTGTTGATAGGGAGGACTGAGAGTTATAAAGGATATAGCCAAATACACAGTGGCTCTTATTATTCTCATTTTTGTCAGGAGATTTATCCATTCTGTCAACACAAGATTTCACTGTGCTGCTCAAGATTCTGGAGTTGATGTTTAGCTTTTTGCTTATTGCAATGCTTATTTTTGAGGCAGTGAATGTCTCTAGGCTTTTCATTGCCATTGCCCCATCTGACTTAGGAAGTACAGTGCATTTTGTGACTCCTATATCTGAAGATCTGTAGCTGAACTCAGTGAGGTTACTCACCTACTAATTTGGTGTTATGTTACTCCACCTTTACCACTTCTTGTCCCTATATTCCTGATGCCTGTTGGCTTTTGATTCTGTGGTACAGAAAGCCTCTTCTGAGAAAGTTATTATTGTTCCAAACAGACCTCTCTTTATGTTCTTGTTAAAAATGAGGTAACTACTTATTCTTCCCGTGTGAAGAACATTCTTCCTGTACCCATGGGTAGATTATATTTTCTTCTAAAACAGTGCTGTCCAACTTCTAAGTGGCCAGTGTCCACATTAGTGCAAAACATAGGCTCCTGCACTGCACATGTGGGTAGTCATAGCCCTTCACTCCCCACCACTACACCACACCATGGGTACAGTCCTACCCTGCAGTCCCTAGAGTTGCACCATCTGGCCCCTTGGGCAGGAGCAGAAAGCTAAAATTGATGATGGGGAAAGCTTAGAGACCTTGGCTGCAGCAGCAAATGGAAAATTAAGGTGGCAGTGGCCAGGTAGGAGCCTGGGAGCCACACATTAACCCTTTGCAGGCATCATGCAGCCTGCAGGCTGCAAGCTGGACAGCCACATCAGCACAGTGCTTCACCCAATCTAATTAGCTGTGCTTAGAAATGTAACTGATGCAGATACACTGCTTCAGGTTCTAAAGCTACTTTGGTAGACAACATACCCCTAGATCTTTTACAATCAGGCATTAAAGGGATATATGGCAAAAAGGGTATAACATGTATCTAGAGACACCTGAGTTAGCTCTCAGTGGGCATATCTACAGAGTCATTAATGTGCATTACTTATTGTGCATTTAGTTTACTACTTCCCTAGTGAAGTGCTAACTAAATGTACAGTAACTATAGTTACTGAGCAATAGTGATGGCACGTGGTTTTTTTTGTGATGGTCACTGCACAGTAGCCTCATAACCCTGCACAGTAGTTTACTAGCATGATTTTTGAATGGCACACTACTACACACTGTTATTAGGCTACCACGCAGTACGCATCTTGTGTAGATGTGTCCTCTGAGTACTGGAAGTAGTGTAGTTGCATTTAGTGTGCTGCTAATTTCTCATTTCCAAGAATCAGATTAGAGAAAAATACATTGTTCTGATCATCTTAAATTGTCTTACGAAGAAGCTGTAGTGTCTCTATATTTTGTAGGAGGACTTGAAATTGGGCAGGTTTGCCCAAAGAATCAGGAAAGTGCCTGTTGGTTGAAGAAACCAGATGGATTAGAGATTGGGGCCAAATGAAGAATGAGACAGGAGGCAAAGGACTGGTTGTGCCAAGACACTGGAACTGAGATTAGTGGACTGGCCTAAGGAAGGCAAGATTGGAATTAGGCAGGCTGGAGAAATACATGATAGAAGAGTCTCTGAAGAAGATCTAAAGAGGAATGCACTGCATTTAAAAGCTTGTCTGAATCAATTCCAGCCATGTAGTTGATCCAATGCAAGGTGTCATCCTCAAAAATCCTTGCATCTTGCATATTTCCTGGACCACCACAACTACTAAATATTGTGAGTTCCAAAGGAAGAAGGGTGAAATCGCATCATTTAGTTTGTTTTTATGAAGATAACAGGGTAGTCAATTTATTTTTATATGGTGTCATCATTTGGTAGTTGCTTCAGTTCCTAAATTGTTTGAAACTTTTATTTCCTTTACATTATTATATTAGGTTCTGCATGCAATTATATTAAGTCGTATATTTTGCTCTAGAGAACTTGTTGTCTTAATAAACAGGCCAGACAAAAAGCTGCCCAGGGAATCAAAGTTTCCAAATGGTGAGGTGACTTACTGAAGATTACAGAGTAGATCAGTGACCAAGGCAGGACTAGAACCCAAGTCTCTCAGCTTCCAGCCAAGAGTCCTTTCCTATAGAAAATATTGTGTTTAACCCCTGCTCATATATTTGTTTGAATTCATTGTAACATGCTTAATGAATTATTGTTTCATTTTTTAACTTGGAGGTAGATTTAAGTGTATGATTGGTAAGTGTATGATAGGTAGACCCTGAATTGGCCCTTGCCTCCATACAGAAGTTTCACGTCAACCACTAATTATTGCTGGCAGCTATTATATTTTCTGGAAATGCAGACTTTACTTATTTTTAATTTTACCCCTGTTACTTCTTACAGGCAGCCTTACGAAGACTAGCAGTTATGAGCCCTGATCGCCTTAAAGATTCAGATTTCCAGCAGCTGGTAAAGCCTAGACTTGTGGATTCTTTTCTGCTGTGCACAAATATGGAAGAAAGCTTTGTATAAATGAGTAAATATGAGCCAAAAAAGCAATCCATTTTTTGAGCAAGAACCAATATAGTGTATACGGTATTATGTAGCCCTAGCACTATTATTTATGATTAATTTATTTTAAAACCACAAAGGTCTGGTCTGCAAAGGAAAAGAAATATGTTTTATCAGTTAATCTCAAATCAGTGGTTTGCATACATTTTTTAAAAATTCTGTTTTCCAGCAAAAAATACGGACAAGTTAACACACCTGATAATTATGATTTAATTAAAAATTAATACATTTCAATGTATGGTTTAGGGGCCATGTTTTCTTCATGATTACATGGCTACAAGTTATCCACGTAACTAATGGAGAAACTTGGTATTTGATGTTAAATGCTTATGATAGTATTTTTATCGTTGCTATTTCTTTATAATTAGAGTATTAAGTTGTCCAAAAGATTTATTAATTTGATGCACTCATTTCTTAATAATTGATTTTTCAGGAAAATCCTGAATAATTTACAATAGGTTGTAGAAAACTATATGCATATCCAAAAATGGTACCTAAATTAATACCTGATCAAATGTTTAGCTACCCACACACACAAAAAATTTGTTGCTTTCAAAACCTTATGAATTAATGAAGTACATCTGCCCAGATACTATTTTTAAGCCAAAATTTTTTGAGAGGATGTACATGAATTTATTAAAAAAACAGATGCATGGATAATTTTGACTGAATCTCTAGTTTTTCTGGTTGATTTCTTTTTTAGCTTCAGCCTTCTTTTTTTAAATGTAGGGTGGAATTTTCAAAAGCTCTCAAAAATCCCACTTGTAGATTATATGTGGATAAAGACTCAAAAGTGGAAATGTTTGTTTGAACATCTCTATGAAAAAAATTACTATTTTATTTTAGCTTAAAAATATAAAAATTTCCCAGAAGTTTTAGTTTAGTTTTAATTCTACTTCCCCATGGTAGAAGACATTTTTCCCTTCCGTCTTCTGCTTCAAGTTACTTACGATCTAGGAATTCTGAGGTGCTACAACCTCTACTAAAATATTAAAATGAAGTCCGTATTCCTGTATTTACCTCATAGAAATGTTGTGCAGCTTAGTTCATTAATGCTTGTTAACTACTTCAGGAGTTTCGGATGAAAGGTGCAATCCAAGTGCTAAGTTGACGTGATCTTTATTTTTCAAGAGATAGAGAACTCTTTTCCTGTGTGTGAAAGGTCTACTATGCTTTCAGCAGTAGCTTATTGTGGCTATTATTTTTCATAGATTGTAGGGATTTAGTTTCTTTTTGAACATTTCTTCTCATAGATATGTTAATCTAACTATATATTTTTCCTGGATAGGTTAACAATTCATTAACCCCTGCCTTAAATGATCATTCAAAATGAAGGCAAAAATTATATTTTTGACAGTGATGATCTAAATAGAGTGGAGAAGAATTCTTCATAGTACACATGGATACCTTTGAGCAGTTGCTAATAGCATGAGCCTTTATATGAGTAGCAAATATCTGTA